GCATTGGTACTATGTTAAACAAATTACATTTTTCTTTTCACACCAAAACAATATAAAATAGCGAACACCACAAGTACACCGTTAATTCTTATATAAAAATGAAGGGATATTTCAGAAACATGCAACCATAAAAGATGTTTAGTCATATCATTGTTAAAGATGTTTAGTCATATCATTGTCCTTGCAGATAATGAACATCCCAGAATGTATTTGGTAGAAAAGAATGGCGTGTTGACTATTAATGTAAAAAGAATAAAATGATGATTCAATAAATAAGAACAACAAGACTTTTAATGGCTTGTGTAGCTGAGTGAGAAGAAAGGCTCTAGACAGACTAACCTGATCTGATCTCAATATTGGATTCGATCTTAAAATGTAAGAGAAGAGCGCTGAGAAAAACAGCTAGATTAGATTCATTCTCTTATAGCTAAATGAAAATGATCATGAGATCTATAATCGTTATAAAGTGGAATATACAACAACAAATCAAATTAAGAGCCTCAAATAGCATCAATTGACCAATTAGCATAAGTTATTCTTCAGGAATTTCGGAAGGCAGGCTCTAATTCTACGTAAAACATAAAATTTGAGAAAGATAATATCGGATTTTCGAACGAGAGACTTGCTATCAATATTATCAACAATACCCTTGAATTTGGGGCTTTTAGTGTTGATTCCTCTTTGACTGCTTCTGCTTCTGTTTCACAATCACCGGCGCCTCTACACTGCAGTAGGAATTCAACGATTAATGTCGTTACGTATCGGTTTTTCTGCACCTGAAAAGAGCTTAATTAAAAAAAATGACTATTACCGGAGACACACAATTAATTTATGTCACGGACAACACTGCTTCTGCTTCTGTTTCACATTCTGATTGCAGAAAAAAAAAATACATAACAACATCCAATTAAGTACCAAAGTGTTATAATTTCAAACAAATACCAAAACAAACAATAAAAGTGTTATTAATTTATGTCATAACAAGTCTAACAAAACACAAAGTAATTCGACGAACCACCATCTTCACTCCCCTCGTTTCCTCCTTGAGCATCACTTGGTGGTTTCCCTGAATAAACAAAAACTACCAAAGTACATTGCTATTTTCTGCACTTAAATACAAGAAATACCAAAAGTATATTGATATTTTTTTTCACTTGGGACATAAACACAATTACCAAATCAACATGCATTTATAGATGCCAAAAGTACATTTTTATTTTTAGACCAGGGACAAAAAACCAATGTACATTGCTATTCCTTGCACTTGGAACATTGACACAATGACAAATACAATTAATCAATCAACATGCATTTATTGATCATTATGTAAATATATGAGACTTTGAAATTAAATAGTCATATTTTACAAGAAATGGTAGCTTACTTTCTAGTTATTTTGAGCTAAAGAACCTTAAATACAAGAAATACCAAAATACATTGCTATTTCTTTTCTTTGGGACAAAAACACGATTACAAACACAATTACCAAATCAACATGCATTTATTGATACCAAAGTACATTGCTATTTCTTGCACTTAGAAAAAAAAAGCCAATTACAAAAGCTTTTAGCAAACAATCTCCAGAAATTTCTAAGCTACAAAACATAAATACTTATGGAAATTAAAATTAATCTTAGTTCAAAAAGGATAACCCTAATCTAGGAGATAATTCCTAAAGGTTATATTCAATCTAGAGATAATAATCAACTAGATCATAATCTAACTATTTTAGAAAAAATAAATGAATTCTTTTTATTAACCATCTATACTAAACATTTAAACATTTTAATTACATCTTTATTACCTATAAAATTAAATCATGTTATGAACGTTGCAGAATATGAACAATCAGAATGTATTTGGTAGAAAAGAATGTAGTGTTGACCAATAATGTAAAAAGAATGCAATGGTGATTCAACAATGTAATGATAAGAAACATGGTACCAGATCTTGGAGAAGATATGAGCTATGATCAATAGTAAGCTTGAATTGGGGATTTTTAAGTGCTGATTTCTCTTTTGCCTGCTACTACTTCTGTTTCACCTTCATAAGTTCACTCTCACCGGTGCCTTGTAGCTTGAAATTCATCGAACCAAAAAACAGTAAGACAAATTGGCCCACAAACAGTGTAGCCTGTTTTGCTAGGCAAATGCGTTAGGGCCCATTAAATGCAAGCCCCATACTTACTGAATGATTACAATTACATAACAACAGAAAATATGGGAGCATGCAAAGAATAAACTACCACCGCCTACCAAAAAAAAACAACCATGTAATTGTACCGGCCTATTTCAAAAAAAAAATGTTAAAAACTCTTTATAATGATTATGGGCAATGATTTTGTCAAGTAAGTCTACCTCCATTTCTAAATATATTTTTATCAGTTCAAACCAATTAATTTCGATGACAATTTGTAATTTTTTTTTGTTGGTTATTGCTTTTATTTTATCTAAATATTGAGGATTGGGTCATGATTGCTTGATTATCTTGGATTTACTGGTTTATATGTATACACCTTTTCTTGAAGTAGTATTTTTTTTGTATGTATGTTACTGTACGAATAATACCATTGTAGTTTTTTGTTTGCGCGTTTTTCTTCTATGGGTTTAATCACTCCATTTTGATTGATTTTCCTTTTGAGGTAGACAATTCGTTTTATAATCTCAACGCCCAAGACCGAAACAAATATCATATTCACATTAACAGACCAAGACCGGTCTCGAAAAGGTTCAGTCTTTTTTTAGACAGGTTTTGGTTTTTTTGGTCCGGGAATACGGTTTTTGTGCACTTCTTTCTTCGTTGAGTCAATGTGGGACACACAGCTATCCACCAAAATGAATGCTACACATGCCCTTTGATCTCTCTTAACATGCTTTTTTATAATTATATTAATCACATTATATTATTTAGAAATATGTAAAGAGGACTCTTCTTATAAAACAATATGTAAAGAGGACTCTTCTTATAAAATAACCTCTTCTTATAAACAAAGAGGTTATTTTTATATTTTGTACCTTTTTTATAATTTTATATTTAGTTATAAATAAGAATGATTTCATCTGGGTTTTTAGACCGGTCCGACTGTTTTACCATCGAACAACTAAGATGACCGATCCAGTTTTTAAAACATTGACTATGATGGATTAAATTGTAAAATCAACCATTTTAAGATTATTGTTTTTGTGATTATTTTGTAAATTAAAAACTTATATCATATAAAAAGGAAAATAATAATAATAATAATAACATTTAGGGTATAATAACTAGAATGACGGCTATCTAATCAGATATGTAATTGTTACTTGGAATTTGGATATATTTTTTTAGTAAACATTCTTACCTTATAACATAAAGTTTAATTTGAGAAAATACATAGAAAGACATCTTAACCTCATAATCTGTATGATATATACTCTAATTAAAGGAGCTCCGTATTAAACCTAATGTATGACAATTAAATTCAATCAAAAAGACATAATTATTCTAGTATATAACCAAATCCTGCTTTCATAGAAAGTCTAAACTGAAAATCCCAAATTTAGAGTTCATGTTCTTTGTTTATCGATCTATTAGTCCAGTTTAACCAATCTTTTGTAAATTACCCACAAATTAAATCATGTGAGTAACAAGTGTATATGGATGGACCATCTTTCAGCATCAATTCCACAGATAACCTACATTAAGAATTGTCCTATAAAATTGTGTACTAAAAACAAATACAACATTAATTAACTAGATTTAAAATACAATGTTTTCAGGTTGCCTTAGTTGATCACAAAGCTGGAAAATGGCAACCCTTGTTGTCGGTGGCAATTTTATTGATACTGGGGACATAAAAACACCAGTCAAATACAAGTGAAGCATGATTTAATTACTAGACTATCTATGTTCTTCAACCCTTTGCAGATTTGCAAAGAAAACCATCACTTTCACATAAACCAAATCTTTGCATCTATCATAAAAATGAAAAAAAGCATGTCTCCCACGACGGTTGAGAAGTAAAGCACCATATGCAGTCCAGAATCCAGTAACAAAACCAGTGCCTCCACCAATAAAAAACCACCCCCAAACTTCATCTGTGTCTTCCCCACCATCCTCAGTCTCACCAATGACATGTGCTACTTCTGATTCATCATCTCCATGACATTTTTTGGTAAGGGGAGGTCCATATAGTCCTGTGTTTCCAATGTATCTTGAAGGATCAATAGACTGCAGTTGAGTGCTGGATGGAATTCTCCCTGACAAGCTATTATATGACACGTCTAGATGATTTAAAAAATTCATACCAGACATGCTTAATGGCATCTCTCCAGACAAGTTGTTTCTAGATAAATCCAATGTTTCAAGTTGTTTCAGTTGACCAATTTTTTCAGGAATCTCTGCATGTAGACCATTCTTTGACAAGTTGAGTGCACGTAGTCCATAGATCTTGGTAACTTCATATGGGATTTGTCCTGTTAAGTTGTTGCTTGACAAGTCAATGCTCTTTAACAATCTCAGAGTACTGGTGAGTTCGCGTTCATATCCTTTCCACTCCATCATTGCATGGTCAACATACTTATTAAGAAGTACAAAATAAATACCAGCTACTGAGGAAAACCATTCAATTGAATAGGAATGCACATTATGTGTTGCTAATGAACCTTCTTGAACCATGTTTGTAAGATTATCCAAACACGAGGGGATGGGTCCATGGAGATTGTTCAGTGACAAATGCAGAATTTGAAGATTAGCTAACTGACATAACTGTAAAGGGATGGTTCCGAAGAAGTTGTTTGATTTCAGGATAAGAACATGCAACCTTGATAAGTTTTCCCCAATCCAAACAGGCACGTTACCAGAAAACTTGTTGGCCTCCAAATTCAAAAAACTTAACCTTGTGCAATTCTTTAAAGACAATGGCAATTCTCCAGATAAGTTGTTCTTGTACAAATACAATACCTCTAATTTTATCAAAGATCCAACAGAGGTAGGAAGCCTTCCAGATAGATTGTTGTCTTCTAGATTAAGATTTTTAATTCTTTGAAATGCCACAAACAGTCTGGAAGTGTTCCGCTTAGAAGATTATGGGAGAGGTCAAGAACAAGTAAAAACCCATGGACAATTTGGCATAAGAAGGAGATTCCACCAGAGAATTTGTTTCTAGAAAGATCTAGTAATGCCACAGTGGAAGAGACGTTTGTTATTGGACCATAAAATCTGTTGGAACTCAAATCTATGATAGAATTGTTGCCAAAATTTGATGATAAATCTGGTGCTTTCCCGCTGATGTTGTTGGAAGAGAGATTGAGATATGTTAATTCAGAAGGCCACATGTCCCAAAACCCCAAAGGAATTGTGTCTGAAATTTCATTATTGGCAATATCAAGATACGAAAGATTTTTCAGAGTTTGAATCCATCTGGGGAAGTGAGGCCCTAGATTGCAAGAGCTCATATCAAGAGTGGCAAGATTTTTCAATGATAGGGTCTCATTGGAGAGTGTCCCTATAAATCGGTTATGTACAGCAGACAACTCATGTAATGTAAGCGATGTGCATCCAGACGACAAGTTGTTGAGAAAATCAGGAAAATTGACAACAGCAGAGTTGTTATCAAATGCAAAATATTCCAAACTAGAGAGGTTACCAAGATATTTGGGTATCCCATCTAACATGTTGCTAGAGAGATAGAGAGCACGAAGTTTATTGCCGGTTAATGGGTACAACCAATGGTACATGGATGAGGTCAGATTGTTGTTTTCAAGAGACAGGAATTCAATAGATGAAGAAGAAGAGTTGAGAAATGAAGAAGAATATGGATACATGACCTGTGACAGCTCACATCCCCTTAAGCTTAATGAAGATAGTTTTCGGAGACTCAGAATCACCTCTACCCAATGATTTTGTTTGGCTAGAGAAATCCCATCCATTTGAAGTAGCTCCAAATGAGAGAGATGAGATAACCACTGTAGGTTCTCAACTCTACATCTGCCAACAACTCCAAGGTAAAGGTATTGCAAGTTGGTGAGATTTCCAAACTCTGGAGGAATGATTCCATAAAAAGAGTTACCAGAAAGGTCAAGGTGCCTTAATTCTGTCAAGGAACCAATGCATCTGGGAATGGTTCCGTTAAGATCATTATTGCCAAGGTTGAGGTACCTTAATTTGGTCATGGAGCAAATGAACCTGGGAATGGTTCCATTAAAATGATTCAAACCAAGGTCAAGGTGCCTTAAACGAGTCATGGAACCAATGAACGTGGGAATAATTCCATGAAAAGAATTATCGACAAGATCAAGATGAGTCAGGTAGCTTAAGTTAAGCAAAGAATTGCTGACCTCACCTTCAAGGCCACCAGAGATAATACTTAGCTTGATGACACGACCTGTTTGGTTGTTGCATGTGACTCCACTCCAGTTACAACAATCTTCTTCTTCTTCAGATCTCCATGTAGAGAGAGTTTCATCGGGGTCTAGGAGGCGAGCTTTGAAATCAAGAAGAGCACGTCTCTCCTTATCGGAACACTTTTTCATAACAACATTATCATCTCCTCCTCTTCCCATGTGGTTGGAAGTTGTAGTCTCAAGGCCTAGTAAGAGAAGTGGGAAAATTATAAAAACACAAGGATTCATTATGTATTAATGTTAATAAAATCTTGATGATTTTTTTTTAGTAGTGATGCATATACAAACTTAGTAGTGATGCATATACAAACTGCCCCTCATGAGGGTTTTATATAGTCTCAATTGTGAAGTTGAAAAATTCACAATTTGTGTGGTCTATTTGTGTGGGGCCTATCATACGTAATTTCTATGAAAATGTAAGACAGATTAAAGATGAATTGAAACAGCTTCCCCCAAATTAGACATTTAAAGACTTACAAGTCTTGGAAATTTGTATTTATGATTTATATCTTTTCCCATCTTGTGATAGATTTCAATCCTCAAGTTATATGAAACGAGTCCCTAAAAATGAACTGATGGAATCAAATATAGTAGATCTCAATGAGTCCAGTGATATGATATCATTTGGGTCCAAGAATTTAATGACTATGAAATGAACTTATCTCACTTCAATTAATTAAGTCATAAACTAGTTAGAAACAATCCAAGTTGGTCGGTTTCTTCTTTGATCCATGGTCTCCTACATTGTTAAAAAATAACCAACTTTTTTTTGTAAAAAGTGCTACACTAGTAGTGACTCTAAAATAAGAGGGTAGCACTAACAAACTTGCAATTTATATATTTTGAAAAACAATCGAATGCAATTCTTTTTATTAATCAGTCTATACTAAAATGTTTTACATCTACAAATTTAAAGAATGAACAACCACACTTTCTAGACCTCCCTAGCATTGGTACTATGTTAAACAAATTAATTTTTTCTTTTCAATTCTCACATAAACCAATATAAAAGAGGCAACAGCACTAGTACACCATTAATTGTTATATATAAATGAATGAATAGTTAATAAACATGGAACCATAAAAGATGTTTGGTCATATCATTGTCCTTGCACAATATAATGTAACGTACTTGTGGAAGTTTCCTTCAAACTTCAACATTGGATGATTTCTAGAATACCATTCTACACATGTGGTTTTAATTTGTCAAGAATGGGTGGTAGCATGTTTGTCAAGAATGGATGGTAGCATGTTTGTCAAGCTTGGATGGTAATAGACAATTGAATTCATACATTCATTTGCCTATAAAAAAAAAATGAAACCAAGCTTATTAAAAAACAACACACCTCAAATTACATCTTCATTTTTCTCTCATATTCATACAAATATATATTTGATATATTTGTTTTTCTTTCCTCTATCTCTGTAAACACTGAATATTATAGTAAATTGGTTCTCGGCTTCCTCCGCCCATGGTTTTTCCCGATTTGGGTTTCCACGTAAATATCGCGTGTTTTTTCTTTTTATCGTTCGATTTATTCTTGGTTGATTATTCAAATAGTTTTATATTCCGTTGAATCGCTATCGTGATATTTGGGTTTTATACTTCGATCTTGAAGTTATCGATTATTTATTGTAGTCGATTTGTCTACAATTGGTATCAGAGCTATCCGGGTTTTCCGATAACGATTCGTAAAAAACTATTTTCAACCATGTCATCGATGAAGTACGATATTCTTTTACTTGACAGAAACACAAGATTCCCTCTCTGGCAAGTAAAGATGAAAGATGTGTTGATCCAAATGGATCTCCACAAAGCACTATTAGGAATGGAGAAAATGCCGGCAACTTGGTCGACTGAGGAAAAGGAGATGAAAGATCTGAAGGCGTCGTCGCAGATCCGTCTGCATCTTTCTAACGACGTTCTCCAAGATGTGTTGAAAGAGACATCCGCAGCGGCTCTCTGGCTAAAACTCGAGCAGCTACTTATGACGAAAAGCTTGCCCAACAAGCTACACTTGAAGCAACGACTTTTTAACCTAAAGATGGGTGAAGGTAGTTCTTTGTCTGATCACCTCTCTACCTTTAAAGAGCTTGTAGGAAATCTGGAGAATATGGACGTCAAATACGAAGATGAAGACTTGGCGTTATTTTTATTATCTTCTCTCCCAGACTCCTACGATCACTTTCGTGACACCATTATCTATTCTCGGGACACTCTTGTCCTTGACGAGGTAATGACTGCTCTTGATTCAAAGGAAAAGATGAAGCAGATAGTTGGGAACAGTAGCAGCGATTCTAAAGCCGAAGGTCTCAACATCAGAGGGAGACCTAACGAGAGAGGTAGCTCTTCACAAAACCGATCTAGATCTAAGTCCAAAGCCAATCGCAAGTATTGCAATTATTGCCACAAGAAGGGACATCTGATCGATGAATGTTTCAAGTTAAAGAACAAGGAGAAAGCAAAGGCAATCGCAAAGGGAAAAACAACCAATAACACCGTTGAAGCCGATGTTGCCGAAACTGGTTCCGATGGCGAGCTTCTATCCGTTTCAGACTACGGTTTAATGACCACGAGTGAGTGGGTACTTGATTCAGCGTGTACTTTTCATATGAGCTCCAACCGAAGCGTTTTTCATTCATATGAAAAGGTTAACGAAGGCCACGTTCTAATGGGTAACGACACTTCGTGTCGTATTATTGGACGGGGTACACTCAGGTTCCGCATGTTCGATGGCGTTGTTCGAACGATTCAAGATGTGAAGCACGTATCCGGTCTTAGGCGAAATTTACTAAGTCTCGGTACTTTCGAGAAGAAAGGTTACGAGTTTGTTGGCAAAGACGGGAAACTCCATATTTTCAAGGAAGGTTCTGTGGTCATCCGAGGAGTTAGAAAATCCGCAAACCTTTACATTATGGATGGGCAAGTTATCTCCGGCGAAGTCTCGGTATGTTCTAAATCCCTCTCCAACGCTGATCGCTCTCGTCTATGGCACCTCAGGCTCGCTCACATGTCATACCATGGTATGAATGAACTAAGTCGAAGGGGGTTGCTCGGGGAGCACAAATCAATCGAACTTGAATTCTGTGAAGATTGTGTATTTGGAAAGCAGAAGCGAGTGAGTTTTATCGGTGGCAAACATACGACGAAAGGGCCACTTGACTACATACACTCTGATTTATGGGGACCAGCGAAGGTTACATCGAAAGGTGGAGCCTCTTATATGCTCACGATCATTGACGATTTCTCAAGAAAGGTATGGTCGTTCTTCTTGAAGTCAAAGGGAGAAGTATTCCAAACTTTTAGAGATTGGAAAGTATTGGTTGAAAAGCAATCAGGTTTTGAAGTGAAATACCTTCGTACTGATAATGGACTGGAATTTTGTTCTGAAGAATTCAACTCCTATTGCCGTAGGGAAGGAATTACGAGGCATCGCACCGTAGTTCATACACCACAGCAGAACGGCGTAGCGGAACGTATGAACCGCACCATCATGGAGAAGGTCCGATGCATGCTATCTCATTCGAAGTTGCCGAAGTCTTTTTGGGCCGAGGCCGCTTCAACCGCATGCTACATTATCAACTGTTCCCCTTCTCGTGCTATTCAAAAGAAGACCCCATTTGAGCTTTGGTCCGGCCAACCTGCTGATTACACGAAATTGATTCCATTTGGATGTCCAGCATATGCCCGAGTTGATAACGGTAAATTGGAACCGAGGGCAATTAAATGCGTCTTTCTCGGATATCCGACAGGTGTTAAAGGGTTCAAATTATGGAGCCCGGAGCTAAGCAAGGTTTTGACATCTAAAGATGTGACCTTCGATGAAAAAGCCATGCTTCATCCTGTCTCCAACATTCAGACCAGAGAAAATGAAAATTCGGAAAAAGACAAAGTTCGAGTGGAGGTGGAGTTTCCTTTAAATTCATCTTTCGAGGACCAGTCTCATGAAGGTGTCGAGGTTTCTCAACCCTCGAATAATCAACATTCCTCTTCTCATGAGCCAGCCGAAGCTCCAAGCCAACCTCACAGTCCCTCCATTGCAAGAGATAGACCTCGCAGACAGATTGTACCTCCAAAGAGATATGTTCAAGCCAATTCTGTCGCTTATGCACTTACAGTTGCCAATGAAGTTGAGTCTGTTCTGGAGCCCACAAGCTACAACGAGGCCATTCAATCCAAACATTCTAATAAGTGGATGGTTGCCATGCACGAGGAGATGGAATCTCTTCAGAAAAATGGCACATGGGATCTCGTTCCAGCTCCAAAGGGTAAGAAGACAGTTAAGTGCAAATGGGTCTACAAGTTGAAGGAGGCTATCCACCCTGGTGACAAACCAAGATATAAAGCTCGTTTGGTAGCCAAAGGCTACAGTCAAATCCCAGGTATCGATTATACCGACATTTTCTCTCCGGTTGTGAAACACACGTCAATACGTGTCTTGTTGGGATTAGTTGCCTCTCATGACTATGAATTAGAGCAACTTGATGTTACTACAGCATTCTTAAATGGTGTGCTTGAGGAAGAGATATATATGCAACAACCTGAAGGTTTTGTAGCTCCTGGCAAGGAAAGCTACGTGTGCAAATTGAAGAAGTCTCTTTATGGCCTCAAGCAATCTCCTCGACAATGGTATAAAAGGTTTGACTCATTTATGACCAGTCACAAGCTGAAAAGGTGCACCTACGACAGCTGCGTTTACTACAAAAAGTGTGACGATGGTTCAATGGTCTATCTACTTTTATACGTGGATGACATGTTAATTGCAGCGAAGAATATAAAGGAGATTCAAAAGATAAAAGACCAGTTGAATGCTGAGTTCGATATGAAGGACTTGGGTGCTGCCAAGAAAATTCTAGGAATGGAAATAGTGCGAGACCGTAGTGCAAGAACTCTATACCTTTCTCAACAAAGCTACATTGAGAAGGTTCTGCACCGTTTCAATATGCATGACGCAAAAGAAGTCAGCACTCCTTTCGCAGCCCACTTCAAGCTATCATCCGCCTTAAGTCCTACCACCGAAGAAGATATAGCATACATGGCAAAGGTACCATACTCCAGCGCTGTAGGATCTCTTATGTATGCTATGATTTGTACACGTCCAGATTTGTCATATGCGGTAAGCATGGTGAGCAGATACATGGCGAATCCAGGAAAGGAG